TAAAGCTCTGTCAACAAGCCCCACTAGCTCATATGCTGAAACTCTTTTTCTCCTCTGAGATAGGTGCATCCCCTCAGGTGTCAGTAGACCAGGTGTTCAGTAGATCATCCCATGGCCAGCAAACTCCAGATTTTTCCAATTGCACCAACCTTGGAGCCACTCACTGACCTGATGGATCTTACTATTACTAGCAATATTATTCCTTGACAGTGGAAGGATCAAGGAAATTACTACCTGTGCTCCTGATCCCTCTGCCATTTGTTTGGTATGCTTCTCTGTGGAGCTTTACATGGACTAAGGAATACCCTACCAGAGAGAGGGAGTCTGTGTGTGAACCTGCTGTGCCACATCAGCCTGCCTTTGTCTGCTGAATTCTCTCCCTTTGGAGAAGCTGGGGAGGCTGGGGGTGGAGTTGGGAGCTTTCCCAGCAGCCCGTGTCTGTGGTTAGTTAGTGGGAATGGACTGGGAGTGTGGGTAGCCACCTTGTCTCATTTGTGCTGCAGGAAGGAGCAGCCTGGGGAATCGGAATGAGGCTGAGAAAAAAGGGTGAGACAGTAAGTATGTGTGGAAAGGATTTGGATGGAAGATACTGGAAAGCAGAGCTAGCGCTTGTGCCCTGAGCTGAGAAGTTGCTGAAGAAGCAGAACAAGTGGAGAGAGAGGGCAAGAGTGAAATGCAATGCTGGGAATCTGGATGCCTGCAGAGCAGTTCCTTTGCTTGGATCAGCTGACTGGGGATTCTACATGATTTTAATGTGCATTTTTCTAGCGGGTGTTTGCAACAACTCCTTGGAGCTTGATGATGAAATAGATTTTCTTTCTAATTTCTCCCTTAAATGAGTATGCATAGTAGCTAAATGTACAGCTGGTTGTGAGACCACATGTGTGGCTCCACAATACACACCAAGTCTTGTGAATCCCTGGTGTGGTTTGTTGAGCAGAATCGCAGCATGAACTCTTGACAGATGTGTTTATTAATATCCTTTGGCTTTAGTGAGTCTTCCAGTGGATAAATACCTAGCTTAAACATCATTCAGTCTGAAAATATCATCCTTTTTTGCCTTTAATAGCTGATATAAACAGAAAACACAGGTGTGGCGGTAAAATACCTTAGACTCCTCTACTGTGACAGTGCCCCAACTGAGGTGGCAGCAGCGAGCAGGGGTAGTGTGGAATCCTGGTTTTCTCTCTGAGTCTCTTGGTTTGTGTTCCTGGACCATGAGCTGGCTCAGCTGGCCGCAGTGGAGTGAAAACTCTGTAAGCGTCACAAGCCAGCTCACATGATAAGACAGGGGACTGAACAGGCAATACCTACCAACAGAACGTGATGCTGAGGAACAAGAAGGGGCAGTTCTCAGTTTGCAGCTCCCAGAGGTTTGATGGCTAAGTACATATAAGCATGTGAGTGTGCTCTCTCATGATTGCTAACACTGCTTACAAGTGGCAGGGGGAAGGGACAGGTTGCATACACTGCATGTGAATACGTACGTACTATATGGGGCTGATTTTTCCCTTCATAAAGTGTTTCTAGTGAACTCATTCTGCAAGAATGTTCTCACCTCTGCAGCCTGTGGGATATTCACAGCCAGCTGGTAGAAACTGTGGATTTGTTTGGGTTTTTTTCCTTTCCTATCCCCTTCCTCTTTTTGTTGGAAATGAAAGGAGGTGAAGGCAGAGGCGAGGCTGTGTATTGCGCAGTGCTTTTGTTCTGGCCCCGCTGGCAGCTTCCCGAGCCTGGTGATGAATGAGCTTGTTGCATGAGATCCTCCACTGAGGCTTCAGCATCTCTAATAGGGCGGCCAGTGTTTCCTTGTCCTCTGCGCCTGCCTCTGCTTTATTAACTGCACCGCAGCAATATTAAACTGGAGCACTGGGTCAACATGATCAGGAGGAGGGAGGCTGAGAAGAGGGTGGAAGGAAGAAGGTACCAGGATAACATGGGAGAAAAGAACACAGAGTGGCAGAAAGGGCAACAGCTGGCAATTGAAGCGGATTGAAAAATGGGTTTCTACTGGGCTGATGCATGCAGCTCTTCACAGACCTGCTGCTGGCAATAAGAGAGGCAAAGGATATTTAGGGAGGGGGGCAGACCTTGGCCCTAATATCTCTGTCTGCTGGACCTGTGCTGGTGACTACAAGCCAGCACCTGCTCCGCATGCACACAGCAAGCGGCTGGCTGGAGTTGTCCCCTTTTTCTCCCTGGCATATGCCCTTTAAACTGTGCTGGCAGTGCACGTGGCTGTCTCTGCTGACGGCTGCAGCTGGCCCAGGGGAGATGTTTGGCCCATGATGCCTTTCACAGAGAAGAGCCAGTCTTTCCAAAGACATCCAAAGACATTCTGTTGTGATGCCAGGACTGCAGGGACCATATTAAGGATATGCAGAGGGCAGCCTTTCTGGCAGTGAGTTCCTGTGTAGGTCCAAGTTGCAGATTGAATAGAGACAGGACACAGGCTGAGTGAAGAGTTGGATATGAAGCATTTGACAGAGGGAAAAGACTCTTGTAAAACTTTCCCTCTATACACCAAGAGGAGATGCATACTGGGCCCCAGCTGTGCCTTTCCCATTATCTAGTTGTCTGGGTCTCTTCTGGGAAGCAGGAAAGTTGCAACCCATAGGAATCGTATTAATGACTTATTAATTTCAGTTTCACAGCCAAAACTGGGTGGCAGCCAGTTATTTATTTTGTTTAACCCACAAGTCCCTGAGGATAGACTCAACTGGGGGATCTGATCTAGAGCTTTGCAGTCCAGACTGGAGGCTGATTTCTCAGTTTGTCCTGGATTAGATGATGTGGGAGAGTACGTGATTTGACACTGCTCCCAGAGGCTTTAGATACCCAAATTCCACTTAAATCCCAGCTGAGGTGAAATTTGCACTGTCTGAATCTTGCCCTCAGGCTTCTCTCTGACTCTCCATTTTGTTTCTCTTCTAAAGGTTATGTCTAGATGAGGGAAATGGCTTCTGACCTCTTCCTATTTGCTGGCTGCCTTCCCAGCACCCCAGCTCATGGCAGCCTGTGGGGAGGAGCTGTTGCCAGCCTTCCCAGTGAGGTTCCACATCCCAAAAAGATCTATGGCAGCTGTACCACTCCAGCCTTCTCTTTCTGGCTTGTGACTGCTCCTCTTCTCCCAGATAATTGGGGGTCTCATGCTAATGATCTCAGGTGAAGTCGCTGCCACTGGGAGCCAGCTCTGCCATTGCTTGGCAGAGCGGTGCTATGGAAGGCTGGCAGATGGGAGGGCTGAGCAGTAGGAATGCCAGCTTGCAAGGATGCGTATGAGGAATTGTTGATACGTATGGATCCTGGCAGCATCTTGGTGCCAGGTTCATGCTTGGTTCCCTGCCCTGGTCCTGCCTGCTAGGACTCCTCCCAGGTGCCTTTCAGGAAGGCACAAAGCTGCAGGAAAGCAGCTCCCAGCTCTCTGACCCATCCTGCCCAGGGAGAAGGAGGAGGGTGCAGAAAGTAACTTGCACCCTGATCTGCTTAGGTACAAAGGTCTCTGTTAGACAGAATCTGTAAGGCAAGTGCAAAGCTGTTTTTCACTGTGAGAACCACAAGCAGCCATGGGTTCCCAGGGCCCAGTCCTGCCCCAACACAGGATGTGGTCCAGTCCTGCCCCTTCACATGGAAGCACCGTCCAAACTGTAGGCTGATCAAGGAGGTGGATTGTTGGGTCCTGGCTGTGTTGGAAATGAACAGGGCCATGGCACAGGAAGCTCTCCAGTGGCAGCCTTCTGAGTTAGAACTTACAGTTATGTTCATGAGGGCTGGAGACAGGCAGATCAGGGACTGAATGAACTTGTTTTTACAAAGCTCCACATCTGCATTGCTCCCCAGCCCTGCCTTGCTAATGGCTCGTGCTCCCACTGTGTCCTCACTCCATCTTCTTGCCCCACTCTCTGTACACTGACAGATTTGCTGTAAACCTTCCTCCATGCTTCCTGGTTCCAGTAATCCTGTAACTTCAGAGTTAATGACCAACACTGAGACAGCCTGTCAGGAAAATTGCCTTTGCGATAGAAACTGTCAGCCTAGAGGATGTATCAGAGGCAGGGGAAAGCTTAGTGTCTGGGACAGTGAACACTGGATCATGGAAAGCCCTGCCAAAGATCATTTTACCAGCACCAGCATCCCCAATAACGTATCTTGCCACAAGGATCCAGGTACCACACGGCGACAGGCAGGAAATTGTATCATCGCAATGCAGTCCTCGTTCTTGTCCTTCCCCCACCAAGCAAGCATGACCGTGGCAGGGAAGTTTCACTGACATGTAATTCATCATTTTTAGTGGTGGTGATTTTGATAACGATATTTTTCCCATTGTTTTCTTGAAAATTCCCTGCTGCCTTAGCAAACTGAACAATGTTTAGCTATTATGGTTCAGCTCCTTCCAATGGGCATCAGAGAAAGAGGGAGCCTATGACTGATTCCAGAGAACCACCGACTTGAACTAGACCACTTGCTCTGGTCTGCAGAGGCAGTGTGGGCAAGGAGTCAAAAATGGATCCTATGGAAGGTTGCTGAGGAAGCATGGTAGTAGACAGGTCCCAGTGAGGCACCAAATGAAATGCCACAGGGCCCAGGCAGCAAGTGAATGAATTCTGCAGCAGTGATTGTGAACCGCAGGATATCTTGGCAAAATGCAATGCTGTGTTTGCAAGGAGCTTGGTGCACTAGCAGGGGTAAGTTGGGTCCATTTTTCCCATCCTGAAGCCATTCTTTCTGGACACAAAGTTGCTCCAGGACCCATAGTTCAAGTTGTCCCTAGAGTCAGGAGGACCCCAAGGCTTCTCTTGAGGGGCAACTTAGTCTCCTGATCACTGTTCTGTACCAAGGGTGGGAATTTTCAAACCAATACTGCATGAAGATCTCATGGAGAAACCAGATGTACATGTCTTTATAGGAAGAGGTGGAATAGTGTGTTAGATGGTGGATAGGATTGCTCAGGTTTCCAGTTTCAGGATTCTCATAATACTGTGGGTTCCTTTTCTATGCAGCTGTCTCAGAGAAGCACCATCCAAACCTTCATTCCTGTGAAGAAAATGGAGAAAGGCCTGTTGCTGGAGCACATCTTGCCCAACCTGAAAGTGCCTCAGAGCTATGAAGTTCGCCTGACGCCCATCACCAGTTTTGGGGCTGGAGATATGGCTGCCCGCATCATCCGGTACATGGAACGTAGGTGTCTCTTCCTCGGTCCTGGCTACAAGAGCAGGTCCGAGCCCCAGGCCTAGGGACATGGGCCTGAATAGATGTGGTCTTCTGTCACCCTTGGGTGGATCTCTCTGCGCTGAGGAGTTTTGATAGCACTGCACTAAAACATTTCAGTGTATTTTGGCTGTTGCCATCGATGCAGAGCACTAAATAGAGACTTCTGAAGGTCAGTCTCCACTGATCCGTCACTCAGCAGCTCTGACTCACACTTTCCACTCTGTGGGCAGGAGATCCCTAAAACCTCAGTGACCCATCAGGCCATGCTGCAGTTTCCCATGGTGCAGTGGCATATTAGAGGACAACCACTGGACGTTGTGTATTAACCACAATCCCATAAAAATAAGAGGATTGCAGAAGGCTTCAGTTCTTTCCAGAGCTGAATGCATGATTCCTTTCCTAACTAGTCACTAATAAAGCTATAGCTTTATCCAATACCATGATTCCCAAACCATCCCATTGATACATATTGACCACACTTCTCTCCATTTCCACAGCTCTATGATTTCTTTACTACCATTAGGAGTTTGGACCTTATATTTCAGCAAGAAGTACAGACCCCTCTCCTCCTATGTTTTCATGATTGCGTACAACCCTCTTATCTTGTGGAGTGACAGCATTTCTGGTGTCCTCAGCATACCTGTCATCTTGAACTTCCACAGTGTGTCAAACTGTTTCGATGTCTCTCTTAGATACCAAGCTCTGGCGTCTAAGTGGGTGCTACTGCACTAGTGTCTAGAAGGAAACTGCTTGGGTTGCCAGAAGGGTTCCCCTATGGAATCCCAGGATCACCCCTTAGGTGGGGGTTTCTTAAGGTCTCTTACTGCTTGGATTAGAGCGTCAGCATCTTTTTCCATCACCAAGGCAGACACCGAGCACTGCTGTTTCACAGGGATGCTACCAGGAGACTTGTGCATCTGTGACCTTTCTTGATATGTTTGTTTTATTTTCAGAGTTTGATTGTGATTTGAGGGAGTACTAGCTGTTCTGACTTGTTTTTCTGTTTCCTCTTCCAGCAATCAACTATCCCAACCCAACAGGTAAGCAACAACACCTTTGTGTTTGCGTTTTGAATGTAATGCATGTTAGTCAAGTGCTTCAGCAGATCAGGCAAGCCAACAACTGGAATACACAGCTGACTTTTTCAAACCTTTTTTCCCAAAAGAGGATGAAATTGCATACGCTAAAGCTTCCAGTAAATACTGCCATTTGTTGAACCTCAAATTATTTTCAGGAGATATACACCAGAGATATGGCTCTCATTCACACCTGATATCTCTGTGACTGGATAGACTGTGATCTTGAAACCACCCTCCCTTTAAAATGAGCAATCTGCTTCCAGTAGGCAGGTTATTAAATGTACCCCCAAATAATCTATGTTTAGGAATGTATATTCCCATGCTCTTCTGGCCAGAAAATACATCACTTGATATCTCTGCAGGCTAGTATGGAGCTGTGTCCAGCTCAGATCTGGTTCCTCTCATAAACTTCTTGAGCACAGTCCCTTTCTTTTCCCTTCTTTTGTCATCACTGTTAACTTGCTTATTTTCCTTTTGGTCATTCCTGCCAAGATGCAGGCCCATCTTTGTTGAGCAACCAGAGTTCCCATTGATTTTGAGAGCAGAATACACAATGTCTCAAAATGATGGTCTTTAACATGACTGTGACGGTGCCCACTGAGCATGAAAGAGGATTTCTAGCTTGCTAGAAGCAGTGGTGGGGTGATCTTCAGGGGATGAAACACAGTCCCTTTGCTTCGATTGCTGGATATAAGGCCAGGCAAAGCTCTTGGGCAGAGAAGGGCAGACTACTTGCTAGTGGTCCATGGGGAGCACGTGGTTCCATGTATATGTTTCTCCTTTTTTCCAGCTGCTGAGTAAGTATTCAGTCCTTTAATGTATTACTCTGTGTATGTGTAGGTAAGTGGTACTGCTGCACTGCAGGGTATCAGTGAGAAGGAGAAGGCAGCCAAAAATCAGGGTATGGGATTTTCTTGTTAAGGCAGCCATGAGGTGTTAATTCTTGCAAGCTCACACTCTGAGGATGGTTTGGTGAGCCATACTCTGCCGGAGAGTAGGAGCTGCTTACAGGGTTAGAGGGATTTGGTGCTCTAAGTCCTTATTGCATTTGCTTACTTTTCTCCACTTCCTGATCCTCTTTAAATATTCTCCACAGAAGACTCATTGGGAACCACGGAGCATATTGCCAGGAACCTGCTCCAGAGCGTGTCTCTCGGTACTTGCTGGAGGAGGCAAGCATCCCAGCCTGCAGGGGAAAGTGACAAAATCTGGCCTTTTGCCACTTGCTTTTACACTACATAAATCATTGGTAGTGCCAGAGCAACTTCAGTCCTAATTGTGCCAGTCTCTTGGGGTTTTTGTAAACTGAACCTTCAGACTGCCTGCCTGGGGCTGCTTTGGCAGCTTGATTGAGTCCAGAACAACTGCATTAAATTTGCCTACGGTGGAGGATAATTCAGCCACACATGTATTTTCATGCAGTAAACCCAACACTTATGATTTCACCTTAATATAAGTTGCCCAGCCTCTGGCGGATATTGGGACCTCTGGACCAGTCATGAGGGTCTTGCCCGTGAGTTCACACCTTGAGATTGGCCGCCTGAAATTGGACCTACTGCACTTGATTTCAGATATGACCCTTCCTTTCAGACCAGCTGCTAGTAAATACGAGCCCAAAGGCTCTTAGCTCTTTCTTTGGACCACAGCTGAGTTCCCAGACTGTCATCCCAGTAACATGGAAATCCCTCCTGCTACCTCTTCTTTTCCTAGTTCCTCTGCTACCACCACCCCTAGGGAAAAGTTCATGCTAGGCTGCCTAGTCAAATTCTGGGAGCAAACATTGGGAGCTCTCAAGTGAAAGGCAAAGATTAGATGATTAATGCCTCTGGCAGCCTGATCCAAGGGCATGCACAATGGTGATTAATTTACAAACTCTGAGAGTCACTTAATACAATTATTTCTTCATGCATTTTCTCTCTCAGCCTAATAAGATGTTAATAACATTGGGGCAGGCATGCGTGTGGCATGGTTACAGAGCCAGGTACAGGGCTATAAAGGAAAAGCAGAGGAAGTGAACAAAAGACATTGAGGATTTCTAATATTTAGAGGTTGCCAGTAAGGCTGACTCTTAAAATTTAGTTGATCTAGTTCTAAAAACCAGAATTTATATTTTAAAAAAACTGCCTAAGAATTATCTTAAAGTTCTCCTAGAATAACTGATAATTTTAATGCCTTGAATAAATTCCGGTGCTGGGGAATCTCCTCTGTCCTTCTTACCTCTCCCCTGCATTTTCATTTGGATATAACCTTCGCTTTCTAACCCAAACGCTGCAGTGCCAACCCACAAACTGTTCCGGCTCATCAGCACTGGATGGTTTGGTTTCCCTGATTCTACCAGATGTGCCCTTGCAACTTGGTGATGAGGTCATTAAGAAGTACATGGTATAGCTTTCTCTTGGCCAATGTGTCTTGCCCTTCCAGAGCAGCAACACTGTTTCTCACGTATCTGCAGTCTGGCTGTGTGTGGTGCTAAAATGTTTTGGGACGGTGGACAAGTAGGTGGGTGGTGATCTGTGCCAGATGCTGGTTGTGGTAGATTACCATGGTTTGTTTCTTACCATCTAGTGCTTGTGTGTCCTGTCTCTGATAATGCCTCATAGTCCAGAGGAATTTAATCTTGTTGCTCAGGTGTGAACATGTGGGAATGAGATGCCAGCCTGCTGTTTAGAGTTGGATTACTCAAATTTGTACCCGTTCTTCAGGAATGTGTACAAAGCAAAGGTTAAAAAAGGTGACAATTTTTTGTATTATAATGGCAAATAGGATTGTGTAGGCCATATTATCCCCTTGTTGCAGTTTGAGATATTAAACCAGACAGCAATCCAGTATGACCCAACCAGTTATGTCATTGTGAAGCTTTCTTCCATTACTGGTGATAAATACTCTAGAAGATTACAATGGAAGAGACTATTAAATGTTTTCTCTTAGCTCACGATGTACTTCGAGGTCTCAATACAGTTTTCATTGTCTCGATTTTCTACGTGGGGAAACTGATGTTCAAAGAGAAGGTGAGAGCCTGTGGGTCAGTTAACAGGTCTCCAAGAGAGCCGAGGTTTAGAGCAAGTTTCTTTATGCTCTAAGCCAGTTTCAGTCCTCAGACCACAGCTAAATGATGCCGGCAATTTTATTCAAGTGCACTCCATCTGCTATGCACCCATAGGCTGCAGCTGCAATAGGATTATTATTTTTTGTATTCATCTGGCATCCAGAATTTCAGAATTTCAGGGATGGCTTCCCTCTAAGGACTTGAAAGGAAAACCTCCATTATGTTCCTCAAGAAGGCAAAGCAACAAAAATGCTAATAGCCACAGCAGAGGGTGCCTCCCCTGGGAGTGCAGGGAGGTTTCTGTAACCAGGTGCAAACATGTTGCACTGAGCTGCCATCACCGCAAAACTTACCAAGGAAATCTATTTGGCGAAGACAGCCTTTGAGGAACCAGCTCCTCTGCTACCTGCACCCCACATATAACCATCCAGAGAACGAATCCTGTGTTCAATATTTAAATCCATTTCTTAATTTTTAAACAGGAAGGTTCCTTTGCACCATGGTGCTGAGCCAGGATCCCTGGCAGATGGGGTAAAACTGCAAGAAGATTTGCTTCACACAGCTGGGTTCATCAGGTCACCTTTGTGGCCTCTTGAGACACAGAAAGCCCTTTAAAGGTTTTCCTTTTGGCTGGATCTACCAGGTTTCTCCTGGCAAGCTTTGCTGATAACCACACAGAAGTGATGTGCTGGTGGTGTCCCAAACCACACTGAACATCTCCTAGTTATTCATGGCACCTCCACTTCTAGCTCGGAGAAACAACAAACCTTTGCCTTCCTGTGGCTTGTTTTAAACCAAAGGACCAGAAGTCAGAGCACTCAGGTTCTGTTTCCAGCTTAGATGCTGCCTGCTGTGACCTTTAATGTGTTTGTCTATACTTTTGTGCGTCTGTTTCCCCATGTGTAAGGCAGGAGATGTATAGAAAGAGGCATTGCTATGCCATAGAGGTGTTAAGAAGCCTTGTTCATTAGTTGTTGCAAAGTGCCTTGAGCTCCCAAGCCAAGCAGAGGTAATGTGCTGTAGTCACAAACTCCCGCACAGCAAGTGGTGTTGCACATAAGCTGGATCATGTTGTCAATTAAGCAACAGCACTGGTTGATCCGTGATGCATAGGACCCTTCTCTAGTCTATGTGCTCTGCTAGAATGTTACCTTCTGAAATTAGCTGCATTTGAGTGAGAGCACCAAATGCAATCAGGACCCTGTTTTGACATTAAAAGAGCTCTCTTCGGGCTTTTGAATATCTTTTCTGAGCAGTCTCATCCCATGGGCGTGTGTGGCTTCTTACAAATGAGGCACAGTAGTCCATCAGCTGCCACAACCAGACCTTGGTGCTAAGATGAGAATACTGAGAATACTTCAGTCCTCTTGTCTTGTACAGCTCCCTCTGATCTCCACCTGAGCCAGTGCTTTCTCCTTAATCTGCCTCTCTTTTGATGTCTGTGCCTCCTCATTTGTGGGTCTGCTCCCTCTCAATCACTTGCCTGGCTGACCTCTGTGTTACAGGTTCCAGCTCTGCTTTACACTTGATATTCCCTGTTAAGGTAATTTTGTGCTGGAGAAAGATGTTACCTTTCTCTGAAGTCCATGTGCACCACAGTGTCAGAAGTGCAAACAATCCCAGTCCCTTTGGAAAAGGATAGTCGTGACGATTCTACTGTATAGGATAATGTCGTTCTAAGAGAAAACTTGTCTCTTCTAACTGCAGCTGGCAACCCATGAGCTGAAGTCATGGAAATTCTTGTCTTTGGTCCAGTGGAGAGAAACTAGGGGTATTACACAACCCAGCAATATCAGCAAGCTTGTGGCCTCCAGCCCCTCCTTTGAAGACCACTGGGTATCTGGTACAACCATGAACTCCCTTCTCTCAGCCATGAGAGCTGAAGAAGGACCCTTAGAAGCTGCTTTTTCACTATTTTCTCCTTCCATCTCCCTGTGCTGAGGAATGAAAAAGGCCCCCCCATCCCACGCAGTTACCCTGTCTCAGCCCCCCGCCAGCATCTGCTCCATCATCTCCTCCCCACTCCTCCCTTCTCCTTCAGCTCCAGATGCCATGCAACCCCTGTGCTAGGCACCACAGAGCAGTGGCTAATTCGCATTTGGATGCTAATTAGAAATGAGCAGATTGAATGGAAAGCACTTAGCCAGGGTTAATCAGCAGTTAAGTGGCCAGCCCAGCCAAGCTCCTGATGGCTGTGCTGAACTCGAAAGAGAGGCATTTTCTGCTGAATTTATGGAAAACCCAACAGCCCTGGTCTGTGAACCAAGCCCTTGGCTTGCCACACAGTGTCCAACCTATGCTGGCAAAGACATTTTTACTGGCCATAGCAGGAGGCTGCCTCCTCTTTTCTCACTGCTTTGGTGGGATACTGAGAAGAGACAGGCAAGAATGTAGAACCCAAGTCCTTGCCACATAGATGTGCAGACTTTTGATATCTGTTTGGAGGACCACTTGCAAGGTCTGAGATCCCATGCTCAGCCCGTTCTCCATCCAGCTCGAGTTTCTGCCCAGGGACCTCTCAGAACACACAGCAGTTTTTGCTCTGGGTCCTGGACCTCTTTTCTCTTTCTTTTCTGCCTGTTTCATCCATCCCTCTCCTATTGCATCAGCAGCATAAAGCTGGTCTTTGGCCTTTGTTTTTGTGACTCAAGAACTACCTTTTTAACACAAAGGTTACAATCTTCAGTGTTGTTATGTCCTATTCATTCCAGTCTATGCAAGTCCATATTGGGTTATGTCTAGGCACAAGATTTTTCACCTGTCTCACAATATTGCTGTAGGGTGTAAGTGTCTTGTGGCAGTAATAAAAACGAGCCCTATTGTACATGTGGTTGATACTACATGAAAATCTTTTACCTACATGACTTATTTGTTAGGGAAACCAGCGTAAGCTCAAAATCAAATGTGCCTTTTAGCTGGTATAAATTGAATGTACTCTAGCCAAATGACACATTTGTCACACTGAGCTGACCTCTTCTCCACAGCTGATTTTTTTTCATGTGTGTCATAGTTTAGTTAAATATATAGCCTAAAGGGGGGTGTCATCTGCTGGTGCTTTTTCCTCTGTCCTGGGGAAATTATTCTACTATTAAGTTTTTTCTGATATAAAAGCCCTTGTAGCCCGTTTGCCTTCAATGCTCTTTCTACCCTCTTCTACATTTGCCTCTTCAGATCTCTCAGCAGAATCTCTCTCTTTAGCTATATTGCCTTTGTTCTATTTTGTCAGACCATCACATCCATCAGGCTCGATTAACCCTTCCATAATAATACTAATCTGGATATATCATGGGTAGTGATAGGACAATGGGGAATATTTTTAAACCAAAAGAGTGGAGATTTAGATTTGATGTTAGGAGTTAATTCTTTCCTCAGAGAGCCGTGAGGCACTGGAACAGGCTTCCTAGAGATATTATGCGTGCCCCATCCATGGAAGTGTCCAAGGCTAGGTTGGATGGGGCCCTGAGCAACCTGATCTAGTGAATGGCAGCCCTGCCCACGGCGGGGGGTTTGGAATTGAATGATCTTTGAGGTCACTTCCAACTCAACCCGTTCTGTGATTTCTGTGATACATTCTGTTTCAGCCTCCTCCTGAGATCGAGGGCTGCCCATCTGCCCCCGGCTCGACACAGTGACATAGCAGTTCTGCGAGTACTCAGGCAGCTTGGGGAGGAGGTTTTGAAAAGCAGCAGCTGACCAGCCCTTTCCCTTCCTTCCCCACAGACAACACCTGCCGCTTTGAGGACGAGAAGATCTGCGGCTTCATGCAGGACAAGATGGACAACTTTGACTGGACCCGGCAGAATGCCCTCACCCAGAACCCCAAGCGCACCGTCAACACAGGCCCCCCCACGGACATCAGCGGTACTCCGGAGGGTAGGCACACATCTGGGTTTCTTACGGCTTGGCTGGGGGGGTGAGATGCATGCCGTTGCTTGTCAGGAGCCTTGTGGCTCTGGGAGCTGGCGGAGGGCTGATCTGCTTTCCACACAACACACTTCTCCTCTGCGCAGGGTGCGGGGAGCAGGCAGTTAATTTGCATGTTACTGATTGGCATTAAACACACAATTAAAACACCCACGACTTTGTTGAAGGGAATAGTGTGAGCATTAGTTCTTGTTACCAGCTAATTGCCTGCTGCCTAATGCCCTTGTACTGTTTGATGCTTGTTTTGAAGTTAAAAAAGGATAAACAAGTACAAGAACGTCTCCAACACCTTGAAATGGCTCTGTTGGTTTTAGCCAGCTATTTCCTCAAGGGTCTCAGGGAGGCAAACAGATCTGCTTAGTGCCAAGCAGGACTACGAGAGACAGGAGCTGCCTCACCTCATAGCTGGAGGAGACTGGTGTTATGCATTGCTCACGCTAGCTGTGAATGGACTAAATGCTCCCATTTTAGCTGGATATTACTTCCACCTTTCTCTAATGAGGAAAGTAAATTTGTGTGCAAGCACATATCTTTGAACTCAGAAAAAAATGGGAGACATCCAATGGCCAGCTAAGAAAGTGGCTTTTCCTATTAGCGTTAAGTACCTGATTGAGCGTTGAAAATGATGTCAACAAATTAAATAGCTAATCTGTTCCTCCCTGGGCTGTTAACTACTACTTTAGTATTGTTCTTTTCAGACAACAGTATTGTTTAGATGGAATCCTCTCTCCCTCTGCTTGAGGCAAAGAAATTAGTTGGGAATGGTTTCTCCCTCCTCTTTCTGGTTTTCTCCTTACACCACGGAGTCAGTTCTGGGGTCCCTGTGCTGCAGCAGGAAGGCTCATTTTGCACGCAGACAAATGTGTGTGTGCACGTTCAGGGATTCCGCTGCTGCATGCACTCACAGCCGGTCTGCAGATGCCCATCTCTGCTGCTCTCCCCTAAACACTGTCAAGGCAGAAGAGGCATGCAGACATCCTGCAAGTGTCTCTGGCCAGGATCACACTGGGTGCAGAACAGTAGGGGAGAGCAAGGCCATGTCTCCCAAAGGAGGAGTAGTTTCCCAGCCATTGGCTTCCCATCGCTTGCAAGAAGGGAGACCCAGCGCATGCTACCTTTCCCCACCTTTCCATCTTGTTCTGTAGGTTACTACATGTTCATCGAGGCATCCCGGCCCCGGGTGACAGGAGACAAAGCCCGGCTCATCAGCCCCCTCTACAACATTACTGCCAAGTACTACTGTGTCTCCTTCTACTACCACATGTATGGGAAGCACATCGGTGAGTACCCTCCAGGGAAAGGTAACCCCAGCCTTGAGCAGGCTGTTGAGGAAGACTCTAGCCTTTCTCTCCACCAGCTATGCCTGTGACCAGCGATTCAGGAGGGCAGGAGTCCTACTCCAGTGTTCAAAGCAGCTGCTTTCAAATACTTTCAAATACAAATTCCCATAATACAGCCCAGGAGCATCAGGGCTTTGAGGCTGTTGCAGCGCATCCTTCGGGCAGTACCTTGCAGTCAGTCTGTCCAATAAAGAAGAGGTGGAGTTTAAGGGGTTTTGTGGGACCAGAGAACTCTGCAGTGGCTGTAGCTATTTTAGGGTGGGCAGGATGCCTGTTCTCCCAGCTGTGCCAAGGGGCTGGCTATCTGGTCTGCCTGACTCCCTCTTCTCTAACTGTAAGCCTGTGAGTGCAGCAAGCACCCCAGAAGCGCCTGGTACACTAATGAGTTTCCATATCCAGTCAAGGAGCAATTGCTAATTCGTCACCTCTTGATTATAATTTCATTAATTTGAATAATAGATGCACTCTTCCCACAGCACGCTGGTTATTAATCACCTGCTGGCCTGGAGCCTGACTGAAAAATCAGGGCCCAGGCAGGAATGTGTCCGCCCTTCAATAAACGGGGTTAATTAACAGCTCTCTGCTCAGGACTGTAGATGTCACTGGGAGGGAACGCACTCCTGAGTCTGGCCACCACATCTCTGTTCATTTGTGGCACAGCTGAGAGGTTTAACTGCAGAATCTGGGCAAGACTGAAACCCTGACAGCCATGGGTGCCGGGGGCTAGGGGCTGGACTGTGGTTCACTGAGCAGGTCTCCATCTGTGTCTTTCTTCTGAGGCGTCAGGCCAGATCAAAGGTGTTTGCACACACCTGTATTTCCCCTGCAGACAGGCTGCTCTATGCTGTAGTCATGCTGGCAGTGGCTCAGATAGAAGAGCACTGTCAGTGTTGGCTCACACCAGGTTTTCCTGAACTTCTTGGTCCTGCTTAGCTGACAGAGTCCAGCTGTTATTGCTGTCTGGCAAACTCGCATGTTCCTGCAGCTGGCCCTCATGGTAAGTCAGCTCTGCTTCCTAATTCCTCCATGTCCTGGAGGCTTGGAGAGGGTTCTCGTTTTTTTATTTCGGTGAAGACTGGGCCAGACTGGTGGGAGACTGGCAAGGAAAGAGGTAAGGAGAGGACACCTCCTTTTCTTTGTTTGCTTTGGAAATACAACTGTGTGTCATATCGCAAGTTCATTCACAGGTAAAGAAAAAGCCCATCAACTTTTGCTTGCTTTTGGACAAGAGCTCTGTTTTACAGCTCTCATGTGGTGGTCTCTCTTGAGATGGGGTGAACTGGACATGCCAGGGAATCAATTTATTATAGGTTTTTTGCTTTTAGCATTTTAACTCTTTACTCATATGCTCCACCCACAAACTACCCAGAGCAAAAGCTACAGTAACTCCCAAAATCTAAGAAAGCCACTGAGTGCTATTTTCTGTTCCTCAGCTTCAGATGCCTTTTACATCTGTTGATTTTTCCCTTTATACCTAATGCTGTGGCCCCTGCCTGCTTTCCACTTTTGTTGCACAAAGGGACTGATAAATTCGTGCAAGGTAGATAGACTCTAATGTCAAATGATTATTTCCAGTGTGGGTTCTGCTGAGCTGAGAGGGAATAAATTATTTTAAAATTAGACTGACTAGATAGAGTCAGAGAATGAAAGAGAAATAAATGAGAAAATGTTCTTTTTCTCTTGTCCTAAAATATGCGCATTTGTGCAATCCGTGACTCGGTCTAGCAAACCCACTCTGTATCTCTCTGCAGATTGAAAATCAGTGTCTTATATCTGCTCAACACTGGAGTTTCTTTCGAGGCCGGTCACAATATTCTTTCACCATTTTGACTTCTCCTCTACCTGTTGGGGCAGCAGGGTGAAACTGAAACCTCTACAGGAAAAATCAGAATGCCTGGTAATTGGAACTTGGCTGGTTTTCGTCATTCCCACTGTGATAATTACTAATTCTTACACTACTTGATCTTCCTCCTTACTACCACACTGGCAACACTCTGGCATAGCTGTCCTCATCTCTGCACATGCACAAATAAACCCATGTTTGGGACACACTTGTTTCACCAGCTTGATCTAAATTTCTAATGCATGTTGATCACTCCCTTGCTGGTTTTGCTTGTATGGAAGTTGTGAAACCCTTCCAGAAAGCTGTACATTTTTTCGATAGTGCCAGGCTTGATACCCCTAGTGGCTGAAGTCCTCTCAGAGTTTTTAGGGTAAAGCAAGTTTATTTAGCTTTTCTTCTTTAGCCATGGGTTAGAGAGAGTGTAGGTCTCAGTAGGACTTCTGTCAAATGAGGGCACAGACCCTGCCTTCCTACCCACATCACATATCCAACAATATGAAGGTAAAGATGCAGTTGCTACAATCCTGAGCCATGCCTTGCTTCCCATATGCCTGCAGTCATGACCCCAATCCCTGGCTCACCTAGTGCCAGTGCAGTCCTACCGAGCCAGGTGCCAGCCCTGCTGAGCCAACTGCAGCACTTACCAAGGGCATATCAGATTGCTCCTGTTGGCAGACAGTGCCTGCAAGAGGGTATCTCCCAGACCAAGCTTTTCCTAGCAACTCCAGCCCCATCGTGGAGCAAACCAAAGCTCTGTCACTATGGAAAGAAGCCATATAAAATCCCGACATTTATTTATTTTTTTAATAACCCTTTTATTACCTTTTTTCCCCCCTCTACAGAACTTGAAAGCTGTTTTACTCTCACAATTTGACTATAAAATATCCATAGCCATCCAGGCAAATCTTCCCTGGGAGAGTTCCCAGACACTACTCGTTTATAATAGATATGACGAAAGAGAGAAACAGAATACAAATGGACTGGTTGTAGCCATGGTATAAAATATTCAGCGACTAGCAGAGCAGGACGATGTTGAATATCTCTCAGCTGATGAGAGCGGAGGATGAAGGGGAGCTCCCTGAAGGCAATTCCCATTCTTCTGAAGTTATTTGGTCATCGTTTTTTCTTCCTCTGGTCCCCCTGGAGCAAGCATTCACATTACCCTATGATCCTGCCTGCCTAAACACAAAAATCAGAGGAAGGGGAAGGAAAGAAGTCCTGTTTCTACCAGACATTCAAGAACATTGTGCCTGGTGCAGATGCATCAAATGAGGAATTGCTTGCTTTCTTCAGGGGAGTAAACTATCCATGGCAGGCAGCAACCATTTGCCAAGTTCAAATAGCCTTTTTGTCGGGTTGGGTGAGTGAGTCAGCATCACAGCTGGGAGCAAATCCTCAAGTCCCTGCTTCAGCCATCAGACTCCCCTTCCTCCCTTTCCAGGGGCTGCCAAACAAGAGTATCTTGAAGCTTTGGCATGGTCCCAGAGATTTGAAATCACTGGCATAAGGGAAACCTGGTGAAATAGGTCCTGTGACAAGAGTGCCCTGTTGGATGGTTACAGGCTCTTCCAGAGGGATAGACAGGGCAGAAGAGGTGGAGGGGTGGCACTGTGTGTAATAAAGGATTAGGATGTATGGAGCTCACAGTTGGCAATGGCACAGTTGAGAGCCTCTGGATAAGAATCAAGGGGCAAACAAATAATGTGGATGTCATTCTGGGGGTCTACTATAGACCTCCCAGCCAAGACGATGATGCTGATGAATTATTCTTTGAGGAACTAAGCAACACTTCCAGATCAACTGCCTTTGTCCTTATGGGGGACATCAACTTTCCAGAAATTAACTGGGAGCACCACACAGCTGGTATAACCTGGGCCAGAAAATTCCTAAAAGGGATTAAATTTAAAATCTCTGTTGACAGGAGAAGTGCCAGCAAAATGTCAACTCTGGATGTGAGAAGAGCAGACTTCAGACTGCTCAGGGAATTAGTAAGGTCCCCTGGGAAAATGTTTTTGCACGTGCTGGGGTCCAGCAGTGATAGTCACTGTTCCAGCATCACTTCCTAAGGGCACAGGAGCAGGCAATACCCAAGTGTCAGAAGTCAAGCACACAAGTCAGACAGCCAACTTGGCTGAACAGGAATCTTCTCTTGGAAATAAGGCAAAAAAAGGAAGGTGTATACCCAGTGGAAGCAAGGTCAAGTGACATGGGAAGAATTCAGAGATGCTGCTTACAGGTGTAGGAAGAAAATTTGTGTGGCCAAAGCTCAACGGGAGTTGAAGTTGATGAGAAATGGGGGACAATAAAAAAGAGTTTTTTCAAATACATTAATGGCAATAGGCGGTATAGAAACATCATCAGCCCGTTACAGGATGAGGATGGTCACCTCACAAACAGGGACAGAGACAAGGCAGAGGTGTTCTTTGCCTCTGTCTTCAACACAGCTGACAGACCAAGGGGGTCTCAGTGCCCTGAGCTGGAGGACCATGGCTGCGAAAATGATCCACTCCCAGTCGACCCTGAAATTGTGCAGGATCTACTGCTCCAACTGGATCCCTACAACTCTATAGGGCCTGATGGGATTCATCCCAGAATCCTCAAAGAGCTGGCTGACGTCATCACACAACCTCTCTTGATGATTTTGGAGTGGTTTTGGGATTGCGGAGAAGACCCAGCTGACTGGAAGCATCTAGTTGATCAAGGGAAGCCAGTTGATTTTTGGATCTTTTTGGATTTCAGTAAAGCTTTTGATACTGTCTCTCACAGGATCCTTCTAGACAAAATGTCCAGCACAAGCTGGATAAACACATCATGTGGTGGGTGAGCAATTGGCTCAGGGGTCGAGTACAGAGGGTAATAATGAATAATGGGGTGACATAAGACTGGTGATCTGTCACTAGTGGGGTTCCACAGGGCTCCATCTTAGGCTCTGTGCTCTTCATCATCTTCATAAATGACTTGGACACAGGACTGAAAGGGATACTAAGTAAGTTTGCAGATGACACAAAACTGGAGGAGCTGTTGACTTCCTCAAAGACAGGGAGGCCCTGCAGAGAGACCTCGACAAATTAAGAGGAGCTTGGCAATCGCCAACCAT